GGAGGAAACAACTTTCATGAGGTTAAAGAGAGCTTTGTCTACAAACCACATGAATTCAGTCCATATATCCGCGGCTCAGATTTTGCTAGACCAAGGGTACTGTTCCGTTACCCAACTACTTTTCTTATGGTGCGTATATCAGATACACATCCAAAGTGATGCATGTTTCTATTGGAGCATGACTTCTCGCAGATCCATCCTGTGGACACGCCACTTGCCTTGCACACATCCTTCTCCAGCACTACCACTAGGCAGTCAGGAAACTTTTAATTTGCACAAAAAAAATCTTTTCATTTGCAAAATTTGCTTGGCCACCTGTCCTACCAATGGCTTTGAGCAGGAAAAAAATCTGCTGCATGATCGCTCAAGTCCTCATGCAAAAACACGGGCTGGGATTCAGGCAGGCTAAAAACACACGCACTAGTACAAACCAGCGTGTGGTCCCACTGAAACGTCAGAACCGCTGTATGACAAATAACCTCGATTAGGGACAGAGGTTGATACAAGAGTCTGGCCTCTTCAGCACCATCCATTAACCTCAATTATAGATAGGATCCCACACAGCAGGATATAACTCAGTTCTCTTTTTGCTTCACTTGCAGTATAATTAGATACAAAACAGGGGGACTTTAACTTCAGAAGAGAAATGTGTTTGAGGAGAATGCTAATGCATTATTTTTATCTTGAAAGAAATGTCCCAACATTGACCATGTGTGCATATAACCCTCCAAGGGTCTCCAGAAATAATTGCCTGACAAGTATTGCTGCAAAGAAATTGCTGCTTCTTGCCTCCCTTCCCTTCACCAAATGAGCACCACGCTTGGAAACTTCAAAGCTGAGATTTTCATTTGGGATTGTATCCAAGCCCTAATAGTACTAGGTCTTATTGACTTGTAGAGACTTGCTGCAGTTGCAAGGAGGACCTACGCCAACTCTTCCCTCAGCAGTCTTCACCTTTTGATGTCATTTTCTAGGGCAGACTCCTGCATCCTCTGCTCCAGATACAAGACACAAGATACTTTGGCATACAGCTCTAGTTCTCCCAGGCAGGAGAAATTCTGATGCTGTATAATTTACCTCTTTCATCTAGGGGCTCAGAAATTATTTGGGGGAAACAGGGCACTTGCCTAAGCATCTTGGTACATAGAAACCTATTAAATAAGTAGGGCTGAGCAACTAAGCATCCCTTCTCTGTTAGAATCAGAGAAAATGAGGGTTGAAGGCACCTCAGGGGGTCACATCTAGTCCAACCTCCTGCTCGAAGCAGGACCAGCCCCAACTACATCATCCCAGCCAAGGCTTTGTGTAGCTGGGTCTTAAAAACCTCCATGGATGGAGAGTCCACCACCTCTTTGGGTAACCTGTTCCAGTGTTTTACTACACTCTTAGTGAGAAAGTTTTTCCTAATATCCAACCTGAACATCCCTTGATGCAACTGGAGCCCATTGCTCCTTGTCCTGTCATCTGCCACCGGTGAGAACAGCCCAGATCCATCCTCTTTGCAACGCCCCTGCAGGGAGGTGAAGGCTGCTATTCAATCCCCTCTCAACCATGTCTTCTCCAGACTAAATAAACCCAGTTCCCACAGCCCCTCCTCGCCAATCATTTGCCCCAGCCCCACAACCATTTGGCAGCTGCCCTGTGTAGGCGAGATGAGGTTGTTCCCATCTCCTGGCGTGGGCATGTACTCAGGAAGCCAATGGACCTTCTCTAAGGCTAATTCTCCACCAAGTTTCAAAGGGAGTTAGTCCGCGCAGGCAGGTGCCCCCGTGAGCGAGCCTTTGGGACAGGCCTTGGTTGTGCCACCACCAGGAAGGAGACTCACAGCAAGGACAGTGCTGGCCAGGTGCCCGATGGTGAAAGCCTAACATTAAAAAGGAAATAAAAAGGCAGCTGCTAAGTGAGCTAAGCCCCTTATGTAAGGAGAGAGGATTCAGCCTCTTGTACCACAAAGACTGTGTCCACATGGCAATGGCCTCACCGGACAAGAGCGGGCTAGAGCCTGCCTTCTAGAAGTGATTAGGTTTGACTTCCTCGTCTGCTGTGAAATGCTAAGTGAAGTCAACTCTCCTGCCTGGAGAAAAGGAGCCGTTGGGCTCCTGGTTAAGGACGCTCTTGGCATCTCATTCACCTTTCCACTCTGCTCTTCTAGCCTCTCATGACAGCTTACCAGCCCAGGCTACAAAATCTACCGATTCTTCCTCTACCATGACAGCATATAGTGATGATGATGGTGATGACGATGATGTGAACTATGAAAATCTAGTGGTGTGTTACCCACCAGAAATCACAAATTCCTGGTCTTGGTATGAGCCAAAAACAACGATGCAGATAAATCTAAATCCCTTCTGAACTCTTCTTGGTTAAACACTAGCTCTAAAAGCATCTACCTTGTTTGAAATCATATTTATCCTGAGAATACCACCGTATCTATGTTCCTTACTGTATCTATGCATGTTCCTTATTTCTTCAGTTGTCCAGTCAAGTAACCCAAGCATGCTCCAGCTACTGAGATGAGAGACACTGTGCTTCAAACCAGGGATCAAAGTGCTTCTCTGTGTTCACATGAAGTGTTTGTTGATAAGACCATGGATTTATTTCACCTCTGGAATCAGAACGAGCATGCAATCCAGATGCCTGTTGTCGCTCTTGTGGAAAGGATGGCTTTTACATCTGCATTAAGCACCTGCTCACAGAAGTTGAGTGAGATGCCTGTGTTATGCAAGAAGCCCACAGCAGCAAAGAGATGAACACAGGTCTCTTAATAAGGCTGTTGCCCTAAACACTATCTGAGAAAGCAGATCCTATACGAGACCAGGCTCACTGTTACACAGGGGTCTGGTTCACTCCTGTGTCGCTATAGCCTCAGGTCACGGATTTCCAAGCGAACTGGACAAGCATAGTGGTGAATCAGGCCATGACTGTCTGTGCAGTTGCCATGTTGCCAAAAATCAATCAATCTTTTTTTTATTTTTAAACTGGATGCAGTCTCTCATAAATTCCCCAGCATTTGAACATAGGCTGATGTGATGCATCATTTACACAACCCCCAGGCAGGAATGGTGAGTACGACTGCTCAGCCATTGCTTTGATAAATCCTGGACTGTGACTGGAAAAATCCCAATTTATGAATTGATGGGTTCAGCTGCTCTGCTTTGCATTTCCTAGAGGGAAGGAGACAGGTATGCCCTGACTTCACCATGTACTCTTGGAGTTCGAGGCTGCTTACTTGCCAAAGCATCTCATGGCAGCCCATCCAAAGGGGCCACTGGCTCTCCAGCCTTGAGGCATGGCTAGGGCTCCATACCTGCTAAGCATAGGCCCAGGAAGGTCAAGAAGCATTTTGCCATTTGAAGACTAGCTGCCAAGAAGGCTCCTTTTAAACCTGAGGTCGAGGCATTCTGCTTCTGGCTAGCACGAGCAGACACCCCTTAATTGCAGCTTGGATGATGAGCAAATGCACATGCCATGATACACCTATGGGTGTTGAAGATGCCTCCAAAGCCGGTGTTGCCAGCATCAGAGCGCAAGACTTCAAACCGAACGAACAGGGATGCATGGGACAAGCAGAGCCTCTGCATTAACCCTGCTTCTCAAAGTTGTCCAAATGTTTCTTTCAAAGCCTTTTTAGAAAAAATACAGAGATGATGGGCTTGCTCTGAGAGCAATTTGTGTTGGTAAGGACTTGGGCTTTGTCTTCATTAGGATGCAGCAACAGCTGAGAAGGTGGATCTGGCAATATTTACATGTTAATGAATCCCGAGGAAGTGAGGGAGTTCAAACGATTCACCCTTCGTGTGCATGGATGGCAGGTACATGCAGTGTATGTGCCCAGGTGATGCATCGGTGCAGGTACCATAAAAGCGTTCGTGTGCAAGTATCTGAAAGGGGTTCATGTTCTCCTACTGAGAAACCCTGCCCTCCTTTTAGATCTGCGATCCACTCCTGGGCACAACAGGGATTTAATAGTTCAAGCAGATTCCTTAGGGAATACAGTAAGGGAAGATTTTCCACCTATCATGACTTCCACATGGAAATTGCCTAGCGATGATTACGGAGAGAAGGCTTCCTACACACGGTACCGTCTGCTAAAACGTAACATTGAAAACAAGAATCTGAAATAATCAGCCTTGCTTTAAGTAATATTTGTAAGCTGCAGTGCGATCAGACAAAGCCTCTGTCTTATCCTGGGGGAATAAATACATATTGCCAGGCAAGAAAATAAATAATTCCAAGCAAGAATTGGCTCTGAGATGTGACCGGAGAACACAGGACTTTCACAAATGTTGCTGCATTTTTTGTCTGCAAGACAGCTATAAATGGAGTAGTTGGGAGAGTATTTGATAGGGCATGCCTCAAAAACCAGTGATTTCAAGATTTCAGATTCTGGTCACCCTTTCATGGATAACAACCGTTTCATGATGCAAAGTAAAATGATAATATGATATATCATGACGGCGCTGTTCTGGAAACAAAATAAATGATGGGGAAAAAAAAGCCCCCACAGGCAGTTTCTTCTGCCACAGCAGTTAATGGGAATGCAGGCGATGTATGGAATAAAACCTATCCGGTTTTAAAGTACTAACAGCAGCTGAACAGCCTCTTGAAAGACACCGAATGCATTGAAAGTCACTCTCAGGAAGAGATTTAAACATCCAGCTTCTAAAATGCATTTTACATGGCAAATACCTCCCAGAAAATTGACTTTACCCAGTGAGCACACAGTCCCAGTTAATTACTTGAAACGGAAATATTAAACACTACCTCCGACTTGTAGCTTTCAAATTTTAACACTAGGGATGTTTGAGATGTAGCTTCGGCACGATGCCATGACTCGCTCTGAACCCGCTGCTTTTATGAACTGCCACTCGAACTGCATTATCTACAGCACGCACGCACATGCACGCCGGTCCAGGGAAGCACACAGGTGAATTTGGGAGTTCCCTCCACATCATCTTGTAGCCTGTTTGCAAAATGCAAAAGATGGCCAGGGGGTTTACCTGATAAACTTCTCTCAAGCCACACCATGTCCTCAGCACCTGATGGCAAGCTCTCACTCTCTCCGTGTACCACCGTCTTAACGTGGAGACCGTCAAGTTCCAGACAAACCGGCTCCCGCTGAACAGCAAGTCCTCTACGCCACACATGAACACTGAAGCCATGATCGGCTCTTTCGGACTCTCTTAGGCAAACCCTCTTCCTGCCTCGCTCTGCTGCTCGCTCAAATGCCTGACGTTCGAGCAGCTTCACTTTATACGGAGCAGGAAGGGCAGGGGTGCTTTAAACGCCACCGTCAAACCTTCCAACAAACTCCTCTTTCACGGGGCTTCCTGGGCAGACTCGCAGACATGCCCTGGCGTTGCTTGAAGTCCAGCCAAGGGCTGCAGTAGCTCAGCCCCACCGGCAGCTCACACAGCAGCCTTGTCCTTCTTAACAGCTTATATAAATCTCGGTTAAGCTCCAGTAGCTACCACGATGTCTTCTAATTAAATTTTAACCCCTTTTCCATGAGCCCTGACAGCCAGCCCATTTATACACGGCTGGAAAAGAACGAAAGGAAAAAGTCCCAAGGAATCATCTCCTGCACGTTTCAATGAACTCGGCAGCACTACACGCATCCTCCGGTGCACGTATGCACACACACACACACACACACACACATACAATTAATACACACACAATTACACATACAATACACACACATACAATTGTACATATTCACAATTACATGCACATACAATTACACATATACACAATTACACATACAATACACACATATAATTACACATACACACAATTAATACACACACAACTACACATACAATACACACACAATTGCACATATTCACAATTACACATACACACACATTTACAGACACACACACATACAATTACACATATACACAATTACACATACAACGCACACACATAAATTAAACATAAACACACAGTTACAGCCACACACACACACAATTACGCACGCACACTTCTTTCTAACTCCATCACCTCATTATCTGCCGTAAAGCGAACAAAGCTGTCACCAAATTTTCCCGCTTAATCTGTTGCTAAAATAAGACATTGGAAATACCGTTTTAAACACTTGGGGGAGTAACATACAGGGAAGGGAAAAAAAAATCAGAATAGCTCTTGCAGAAATAAATGCACCAACTTCTCCGTCAGCTCCGATCTGGGAAGACACAAACAAAGCGCAGAGATCACGTTACTCGATGCCTCCCTCTTGGATGTTGCATCTCGCCCACGTAAATGCTCAACACGCTGCCCGCCTGCTCAGGAGACACAATTTTGATCTACAGTTAAACTAACATAATCCTATTAATGCAGCACTCGCTGCAGGAGAAAAACAAAGCGGTGCACGCAAGCCGGGCCCTTTGCAAACAGCCCACGGTAAATAAACACTCTGAAATAATAGCCCACAAGAGAGTCGCTACGCTTGCCTCAATTGTCAGGGCAGAATGAAGCGGCGGCTCTGCTCTTCTGGGGCTTCAACCATCAGCGGCAGAGAACTGCACCTTTCACTTGCTAGCTATTCCCTAGGAAAGGCGAAAGGGAGCAGCTCCAAGCTGGAAGATGCCAAAGGGTAATTAATCTTTTTAAGAACGCTCACGGGATTTGGCATTTCCTAAGCCTGTTGGACAAAAGCTGCTGGGGTCCCCCATACCGCCAGCCTGTCTTTTCCTGGAGAAAGTGCTCCGTGTATAGGTTTTGGCTGTAACCCCTAAGCACGCAACCGTGCTGTAAAGACGCAGCCTCCCTGCCCTGAGAAACGAATGGGAAGTAGCAGAGTGCATGGAAGAGTTTCCACGCAGAAGAGCTGCTGAATCTGCGCCTTTGGTAAGAGCTGAGTCCTGTGCAGATATTCGCCAGGGAGACCACCATGGTATTTTATCACCAGTTCATTTCACAGCCAGCTATTTTGATTGTGTGCAAAATTTAGGGAACCGCAAAACATTACAGTAGAAACCACACAAGTAGTCCTTTTGTGGTGCAAAATTTCTACCAGGAGGTACAAGGCTTTGACGTAGCAGAAATCACACAGGCTTTTTTTCCATCCAGCCTATCAAGGTCTCGATATAAACACAGTTGTATCAAGGTCTCGATATAAAACGCAGTTGTATCAAGGTCTCGATATAAACACAGTTGTGTCCATTTTATTGCTGGATACATCGAGGCACAGATTAATTCAATAGCTCCCAGTAACAGATACAGTCAGCATCAAAACCACTGGATTAGAGTTTCTAGAGGAAGTCACTTAAGACCTAATAATTAAAAGACTCAACTTCATGATACAGCACCTAGGAAGCAGCTTCCAGGAGGTCCAAATGGAAAGGGGGGCACAACATGCCAAACAACATTAAAACAAATGGATCCAAGATTTTTCTTGGCCTTAGTTTTTCCCCATTTTATAAATGTGGAAATGTCATTTCCCCTGGGCAAAGTCCAAAACTAGACACCATAATCCCAGCCTACAGCTCTGAGCATCGCTGTTCTGGCTTTATTACCTAGGTGGAATAAACCAGCCTAACGTTTTCAAGTCAGGAATGTCTGCCCAGCAGAGAGCAGGAGGTAGGTTGATGCAACCCCGCCAATCAAGGAGGTCCTAAGACACTACAAAAACTTTGGGTGTTGGATATGCTCAACAGCTGGTCACGTAGACTGTCTGAGACTCACCCGCAGTTTCGGCCTCTCAGACGTTCAGTCATCCCAAACAAAACACTGGGAGAATGGTAATTACCTACTTTGTGAAGATGCCACCAAACTGAACTACAGAGCATTTATGACATGCCATTATTTTCAGTAGTTCTGGCCCTCGGGGTGACCGTGAACAAATTCCCAAGTCCTTTCATTTGCTCTTTAAATCTCAGCTTTGAAGTAAATGTCTAGGGCTCACGGCTATGCCCAAACCTGTCACACGCTGAAGACAGTGTACCCGCTGAATCTGCTGGAGCCTGAAACTCTAGTTCTGAAGTGTTGGCTGCCCCATCCACCTCAAAGGTGCCAATCCAGATGCCAGTGATACCTCATGAACGTTGGCTCTGTCATTGTCCAGAGCATGCAAATACGAAAGAGGAAGGATAGATCATTTGAAAGACCTACGTTCTCCAAAGTGCTATTTCTAGGAAGTGCAAAAGATGCAAAGTTTAGAGACCAGGCTGTGGGGAGGACAACTTTCAAAAGTCAGGAAGTGCCTCTCTAGGCCAGGTGGCTTCTAGAGCATCCTTCTTCTCCACTGTCATACGGTATCAACGTCTCCGTGTGTTTAGAGGTATGAAATACATTTCCATAGAGATACATCCTTCAAATTTACATGCATGTGCACACGCACACGCATCCACACCCTGTGCTTCCCTTTCTCAGTGAAACAGTCTGATGGCAAATATCCACACAAAGTTGCTTCCAGTACCAGGGAGAAAATCTGTATTGGGATAATTGCCGTTCTCTAAGATAACACCGTCTCTGATAAGAACCAGTTAAAAGACTCTTTTATGGCATCTGTGCACAATGGTCTATTCGTCTCCGAGTTTAAACAGAACAGATAAAATGAGAAAAAAAACCCAATGCAATTCCATTTTCAAGTTCCAATTAAAAAAATAAAAGCTTTATATTTTAAGAAGAGGCCTAATAAAAGAAAAAGACCAACCGAATTTTGAGAAAGGCAACCTACCCCCCAAACCAATCTATTGAAAATTAAGATCTTTTTCCTCCTTCACCTGTTGTCTTCCCTGCCTTTTTTTGTTTCCCTTTTCACTTAATTACAGACTGCTACAAATGCAAACACAAGGGTTTTCACAATGAAGACGGCAAGTTTTTAAGTTAATCTACAGTATTTTGGTTAAAGTGGCTCTCCACAGGTTGTGTGAACCTCCTCCCATTCCTCTACAAACCCTTTGGGCATCACCTGTGGGCTGCCTTGCTATCCACACCTCTCTGGATGAGTTTAGTGAAGCTCAGAAAAGGAACAACCTGATGGAGCCACGCTGCCCCCAGCTCTGCCAATCACTTCCACCATCATTTTGTGCCCTCCAACCCCAGCTGCCCAACCCTACCAAACCACAGGTTACGGATGGACTGGTCATGGAGAATATACACTCATAGAAATGAGGGTTGAAGGGACCCCAGGAGGTCACATCTAGTCCAGCCCCCTGCTCTAAGCAGGACCAGCCCCAACTACATCATCCCAGCCAAGGCTTTGTCTTGGCTTGAAAACCTCCAAGGATGGAGAGTCCACCACCTTTCTGGGTAACCTGTTCAGTGTTTTACTACCCTCCTAGTGAGAAAGTTTTTCCTAATATCCATCCTAAACGTCCCTTACTGCAGCTTGATCCCATTGCTCCTTGTCCTGTCATCTGCCCCCACTGAGACCAGTCCAGCTCCATCCTCCTTGCAGCCCCCCTGCAGGGAGGTGAAGGCTGCTATTCAATCCCCCTTGGTCTTCTCTTCTCCAGACTAAATCAGCCCAGTTCCCACATCCTCACAAGTCATGTGCCCCAGCCCCCTAACATGAAGAAGAGCAAGAATCCTTTTCCCACCCTTGGATTCAGACACACAGAAAAAGACCTATTTGACTTCTCATTTCCTTCCTGGAGGGAGTGGGTGGTGATGGGCTGAGCTGGTCCAGTGAAGTCTTGACTCCATCTACTCACCGGCCAGGGAAGCTATTTCAGCACAGGGCACGGGCGATGGCCAGCTCCTAATAAAGACCAGCAGCATGTTACTGCCTTGTGGGAGCGAGGAAAGAATCAGGATTCAGTGGGTGTTTGCACTTCACATTTCATCCTGCAGCTGCCCCTGGAGCGCTACCCAACGCCTTGCACAGGGTTGTGCTAAGTCACCAAACCAGTCCATCTATGATACTCTGCACTTCCAGGCAATACCTGATTTGCAAACACCAGTGTATCAAGCCTCCATACACTGCTCACATGGAGGGAATAAAGTCCGGGAAAGGTAAAGCACCTTTCCAAAGGTCACACTCGGACTCTCCTGCAGCAAGGGGGAGGAATAAGGCATCTTCCAAATCTCTGCCTTAACATTAGCCATCCTGCCTACATTAAATACCATACCACTAATACACAGTTATCCACGTGCGCGAACTAGGAAGAAGGTAAAAGGCTATGAAATATCAGAGGGGGACGAGGACAGAGCATGGGCGGCAGTTCAAAGGATAAAAATGAGGCCATTTTTCTATTAAAAGGTATTCAATAAGAGAAGGATCAAAGAACACTGTAGCTGGGGAATAAAAAGCAAAAGCCTCTGAACCATGAGCACAGCATTTAACATCAATGGAAAAGAAAGAAAGGGCTAGAGAAAGCTGAGGATGCAAAGGGTTAGTTAAACATGG